CCCCCCCAAAGAGCTTGGGGGGAGGGGGGGAAGGGGGTTTTGCACAAAAAGAAAATGTCCACGCTGCTTGTTTTTGCGCAAAAATGGATTGGCAGAATATGCAAATGAGATTGCAACTCATGCAAATGAGTCCCTTATTTGCATATATTTTGCCGAGAAAACTTGTAGTGTAGACGTAGCCTCAGAGTTCCAAATGCCTCAGAAATGGAGGTTGTTCATGACTCTGAACAAAATGTGACAGCTGTTCTTTCAAAAGTCAGATGCCTCTGACAAAGTGGGGTTTTGCCCACAAAAGCCGATGCCCAAATAAATCAGTTCTTTAAGGTGTCACAGGACCCCTTGTTAATATTGCATTAAGTCAACGTACAATTGTACACTTTTGAAAGAACAGCCATTGGATCAGTGGCGACACATGGCGGGGGGGGAGGGAGGGAGGGCAATTGGTACCTGTCCCCGCTCTCCTGTTCCAGCTCCATCCCTCCCTGCCTGCCTCTTCCCAGCACTCTCCAGAGTGGTGCAGCCTGGGAGTGGTGCTAAATGAACTGGAGCTACCCCAGCCCATGCGCCCCTCCTACCTTGAGGGATGCCCATGCACTTGTGTGCATCCCCCACATGTTACCCTGTGCATCACATTTTGTTCAGAGTTACAAACATTTTAGAGTCCCAAACCACCTCCATTCCCGAGGTTTTCAGAACTCCAGTTGTGCTGTTGACAAAATGAGAGACAGGGATTGGTGGAAATATAAACAGAATAGCAATACTCTGGTGCTATAAACAGTTGGTGCTATAAACAGAATAGCAATACTCAAGTGATGGTCTCAGCAAGCCAGCCTCAACCCAGCAGCTTGTCAGATACAAGCATCTGACATCCAACTGTGTCAAGCAGAAGTTACCCCAGAAGATATTCCTGGCACAGCTAGGTCAGTAACAATTGCGATGTGTTACTAGACTAGCTATGCTGGTAAAAACCCACAGATGTAATAGATTATGAACTACACCAGCATACGTGTTTTTATACTGATCTAACAGCATCCATGCTACAGATTTCTGCCGTTATTGCTATACCGGTGTAACTAAACCAGCAAACCCCCCCTAATGTAGACAAGGCCTAACTCACAATGGACTGTCAGCTCAGAGCACGGAGGATATTCATGCTTCAGTGGCCTCCAGATCACACAAGAACCACTTGCACCTAACGCATGGTGAGGGCTTCAGTTCACTTTCCAAGAAGTACGAGAAATAAGCTCTCCGGGGTAGTCTGTGATGGCTGACAAGCTGTGCACTCTCACCAGTAAGGTGTCCACAGCGGCTCTCTTAGCCGTGTTTGTAGCTATGCTGGTGGGGAAACTAGATGGTGCAGCCACGAACTCCGTCACCCTTTAGCCCAGCTGGTTTCTCAGGCTATCATTCCTTCCCCACACGTTTGCAGTCAGGCGGGAGCACATGGCTCTATATTTTCAACTCCAGCAAGATCTCTGCCTCTGCAGGACCCATGCCAGCTGTCACCAAACATCTTCCTGAAAGGCAGGTCAGCTTTTCCTGGACCTCTGCCCATTCTCATTGAATTAGTGCTTACCGGGGATACTATCGCACTGCATGGGCCAAGAATCTGCTGTGAAGAGCCCTCTTCAATAAGGCCAACAGGGCAGTCACCGCCGGGGTATTTTTCTGAGGATGCTTTTGAAACTAGATTAACATAGACACTTTCCTACACCTCGGACCACAGGTCTCTTTCTACTTCTTCCACTCTTAAAGGGTGCGTCTACACAGCATTGCAACTCAAAATAAGATACGCAATTTAAGCCACACAAATTTCAATGCTCTTATTTCAATGCTATTTCGAAATAGCTTATTTCATCATTTGGCGCGGTCTACACAGTGCCAAATTTCAAAACAAAGCGCTACTCTGAAATGTCCCTTACTCCTTGTAGAGTGAGGTTTACAGGGACGTCGGAATAGTGAGTCTGAAATAACGGGCTTGCTGTGAAGATGTAGGATAGCTATTTAGGGATACTCTGGTATTCCAAAATAGCATTGCAGTGTAGACATACCCTTAGAGAATGGGTCCTCACACTAGAGAAGACGAGGGGCCTTCTGATGAATCAAAGCATCGACTGAAGTAAATGAGACAAGTTGGCTGTCACTCCAGATGGGCAGATTGAGTGAGTCCAGATAGGGGAATTCTAGGAAAGACGACAAATAGGATTCTTATCCCCACACAGGACCCTCCTGGTCCTGGTGACTCATTAATACGCTTTCTTAGCAGATATAACAAAGAAACAGGCGTAGAGCAGGTGGAAATTTTTTGAACTAAAATGTTTGACTTCTCTTCCCCCTGCAAAAGAGATTCATTTTGAAAATGATTTTTTTTTGCAAACCTTTGATTTTTTTCCCCTCAATATTTTCCATTTTGCAAAAATGTTCATTTCTCACTTTTGATGTTTAGCTGCTTTCATTTACCATCATTTAATGGTTGGGTGATACTTAATGTTTTTGTTTTCCAAATGCCAGTTTTGATTGTTTGGATGAAGGTATGTGGTAGATTTTCTCTTCTCTCAAAAAAGGAAAACTTGATTTTCACAAATTGAAAAACGTCAGCTTTGGAAATCCATTTTAAACAGAAGTATAAATAAACTAGAAAAAAAGTTCTCTGGACATTTTAAGGGGGAAAATAGCCCTAAAAATTAGTCCATTCCAAAAATTATCAGAACAAAACGGCATATAAATGATTTTTTTCTCCTATCCTGATTTAAGTGCAAATTTGGTAAATTCTCATTTTTACTTTCTGGTTAAAGATTGGCTCAATATTTCTTAAGGGTATGTCTACACTAGCCCCCAGTTCGAACTAGGGAGGCTAATGTAGGCTTTCGAAGTTGCAAGGGAAGCCCGGGATATTTAAATCCTGGGCTTCATTTGCAACTTCGAATGCTTATATTAGCCTCCGTGTTTGAACTAGGGGGCTAGTGTAGACATACCCTAATCGTGCTTGTTAATATCCAGGTCCTTGCAAACCTCCACTACAGCAGCGATCCAGAATGAGGAAGTATGGTTTACTCCAGGAGAAATTGGATATGGGTGTATTGAAGGGCCCTCAGGGTGTCTATGCTGCCAACCCACATGTCCTCTGTGATAGAGTTTCAGAGCCCAGGTTAACCAACTCTGGCTGGTAGGGCTTGGCTTTGGGGCTAAAACTAGTAGTGTAGATGGTCTAGCTCAGGCTCTGACAACCAATCCCCTTGCTGAATCTGAAGCCTGAGCTCCAGCCCAATTAGGAATGGCTACACTGCTATTTTTAGCCCCTCAATCATGCAAGCCCGTATGCCCGAGTCAGCTGATGCAGGCTCAGACTCACAAACCATGGGTATGATTTTTTTTTCAGCACAGACACACCCTTTCTCACAAGAGATGGGGGTTGAAATAGCAGATGCTCTGTGGAAACTCCACCTATTATCAAAACATTACAAGTGAAGCAACATCTGTACTGGTTATTTTGTTTGGTTTCTGCAATGGCCCTGTAGCACTGGTGCAAATGCCCAGTGTAAGCGTGCTGTACAAAAGAGAGAGTCCTTGTTCCCATTTTACAGATGGAAAAGGAGAGGGGTGAAGTGACCTGCTCAAGGGAGGGGATATTCCCCCTTGTCTAGGCAAGTCTTAACTTTTGAGTGGAGAGCCATAATCAAGAAACATCCCCCCACGGCCCTATCTCCCACAGAAACCAAAGGAAGAGTTCTGATAAGAGTTGGAAAGGTGATTTCCTGTGGGAGCCTGTGCCACATGCTTCAGGACTTTTCACACTGACCAAACTACTACGCAGAAGGAAGGAGGAGGAGGAGGAGTCTCAGTCCCTAGCTGTGGGTGAAATCTCAAGATTCAATAATTTGCTCCCCTGTGTCTGAGCCCTGTTAATCAGAAACTGCAAAACTGGACAGGCTGCATCAGGGGAAGAGGCTTCCCATGCTAGATACCCAGCACTTCCTACCTCCAGGAATACCACCTGGGCCGCGAAAGGAGGCGGCGCAAAGGGGGCAGTTTTCCAGGACCTTTAAATCACTGCCGGAGGCCCGTGCAGCGTGTGCCCTGCAACCCCAGCAGCACTGAGGGCCGGCTGGGGGAGGTGTGTCACGGTCCAGGTGGCACTGAGGGTTGGCTGCCCCTAAGCCCTATCCTTTCCAAGGGCCCTGGAGATACTCCCCCCAGCCCCACATATAGACACACAGTCCAGGGCCTAACAAAGTCTGTTGCCAGCTCGGGATACCACAAGAACATTCCATTAGCACTACAGTCTCTTACCCTGCGAGTCTATGGTGGCCACAACCTCCAAATGCCACCCCCATCCCACCCCATCCAGGCCTTAGTTTTCCCTGCACCCTTCACCCAAGTGTTGTTCCTGAGTCCTGACCGTGCACTGACTCCCCACCACTTGGGAAAAGGCCCTACCCAGAGTCAGGGATTCACAACCACGGACTAGCAGAATTCCACAGAGTGGAAATTTATTCTAAGAATCCACGGGGCTCAGAGGCCTCAGGCAGAACATGGACAGTGGGGCAGAGGACACCGGGCAGTTTGGAGAGCTCCCTGAGGGAGGAATGTCCCTACATTATGTGGACACGGCATAGGGACACCGCTACTCTCACACCCAAGGGAACTCATCACCACCTACACGCCATGCATATGTTATAGCTGCATCATCCAGTAAGGATACACTGCAAGCTATGGAGTTACGCTATGATGCTGAATTTTATGACCGGACACTTTTTCTGGTGGCTACCCTAGGTGGCTCATGTCCAGCTGACCCACACTCCTAGCCCCATAGCATCTCATTTTCCCACCTCCCTAGCCATATGTCCCTGCCCCCTCCTTCCACCAATATGCCTGTCAGCGGGCCACCGCAAACACTAGCCACGCCACGCAAACACATGCCATGCCTCTTCCTCCCCAGCTTGCACCGCTTCCCATCGGTGCCTGCGTCCGTTCCCCTGAACCTGTACAGGTGAGCTCACCTCTTTGGGCTGCTGCTTTCCGGCTTGCTGCTGCGTCAATAGCTGCAGGTGAAGCTGCTCCTGTTGCTTCTTGTAGTATTCCTGCAACTGAAGGGAGGGAAAGCAGAACACATCAGGAGAGCAGCTAGACCATCTTGCTCAGGCCTAGCCCTGTGGGTTCTGGGACTAGACTCTGCCAACTCTTGCCACGCTACTGTGAGGCTCACACGATTTGTCATTTTGCTTAAAATGCCCAGCTCCTAACGTCGCGTGAAAGAACATTTCCGCTACAGGTTGAACCTCTCTAGTCCGGCACCCTCAGGACCCGACCAGAGAATTTGCCAGACCACGGGAGGTCAATATTGTCTGGCAGCACCACCAGCACTGCCACTGCTTACGGGGCTCTGAGGAGACATTTAGGGGTAAATTAGAGCTAAATCACAGCACAGAACCCTGAGAGCCAGGACTGGTGGCTGTAAACAAACTTTACAGGACTGCGGGAGACTAGATCACACCCATGCTAAGTGGACATTTGGCTAAGTAACATCATGCCGGACCACGGATGTTGCTGAATTGGAGAGTGCCGGACGACAGAGATTCAACCTGTATTTAAATACAGCTCTGGCCGTTGGTTGCTCTCTGCCCAACTCTAAGGGTATGTCTACATTAGCCCCCTAGTTCGGTCTAGGGAGGCTAATGAGGGACACTGAAATTGCAAATGAAGTGGAGGATTTAAATATCCCACACTTCATTAGCATGTTCCCACCTGGTCGCTATTTTAGAAATTGACTAGCCTGAAGTAACTGCCCGTGTCTATACGCGGCAGTGAAACGGGATTCCTCATTAAAGCCCTAAATCGAATTAGCTCCTCCTGGAATGAGGTTTACCAGCTAATTCGATTTAGGGCTTTAATGAGGAATCCCGTTTCACTGCCGCGTATAGACACGGGCAGTTACTTCAGGCTAGTCAATTTCTAAAATGGCGAACAGCCGGGAACATGCTAATGAAGCACGGGATATTTAAATCCCGTGCTTCATTTGCAATTTCGGTCGCCCTCATTAGCCTCCCTAGATCGAACTAGGGGGCTAGTGGAGATGTACCCTCACAGAATTGTGACTCACAATGAAGATACTGACTCCAGGGGATAATTAAAATGCACAATTAATACTCCTCACCCTTCTCAAGTATCTTTCAACTTGACGCTCTCAAAGTCCTTTACACGTACTAATTAAGCCTCACTTATTAATCATCATTTGTATTAGGGTATGGCCTAGAAGCCTCAGACAGGTCAGGGCCCCATTGTGCAAGGTGCAGTCACACATGTGTAATTAATTCAATATTGTCATATATATTAGCCATTAGTTATCGGTGTTTTAGAGGGGGAAAGTGAGGCACGAGGCATGAGTTAGCCAAGCTCTCACCACAAGCTAGCAGCACTGTTGGGAAGGGAAGCCAGCCAGCAGAAGTACCCCCGCTGCATTGTAATACTCTGCCAAAGGGTGTGGTGGAGACTGACGTACAGGCCCCAGAAACAGGCAAATTAAAACAGCCTATCAATGAGAATGAGTTGTGTTCCCAGAACAAACAGCAACATGAGTAAAAGTGACTCACGCCTACTGGCTAGCGTCAGGGCAGAGAGGTTCGAACACCATGGTAATGATGGAAGGGGGTTACAGGAAAGTTTCTTCCCTCTTTCCTCTGGCTGGGATTCCTGGCCTTTCTGAGTAATATTGCTACCGCACGCCGATTTTCCGTCTCCAGATTAGACTGGCTGCTCTCACTGTGGTCTTAGCAACACTTGGGGCAGGAGACTGGGAGCCAGCACTACAGAACATCAGAACTGCCATACTGGGTCAGACTAAAGGTCCATCCAGCCCAGTATCCTGTCAGCAGACAGTGGCCAATACCAGTTGCCCCAGAGGGAGGGAATACAACAGGTAATCCTCATGTGATCCCTCCCTTATCACCCCTTTACAGACACACTGAGGCGAGGGACTCCATTCCTACCCATCCTGGCTAATAGCCATTGATGGACCTAACCTCAGTGAATCTATCTAGATCTTTTTTGAACCCTGTTGAAGTTCTAGCCTTCACCTCATCCTCTGGCAAGGAGTTCCACAGGTTCACTGTGCGCTGAGGGAAGAAAAACTTCCTTTTGTTTGTTTTAAACCTGCTGCCTATTCATTTCATTTGGTGACCCCCTAGTTCTTATATTGTGGGAACAAGTAAATAACTTTTCCTTATTCACTTTTTCCTCGCCAGTCATGATTTTATAGACCTTTATCATATCCCCCCTTAGTCTCCTCTTTTCTAAGCTGAGTTCTCTCCCCAGCAAACCACTTCCACTCAGTGCCTCATGTTACCCATCTGTAAAATGGGAACAGCAGCAACTATACAGGAAGCTTAATTAATTAAGCTACACAGGAAGCTTAATTAATGCGTATAAAAAAAGCAGGTAAAAGGTGCTTTTGTTCCATATTTTGGATTTTCTGGCAAGGGTAAATTTCAGCTCTTAAGATTTCCCCCCTTCCCCCACTCATGCCTTCAAATAAACTGTTTCCAATGGGTTTGTTTTCCATAAAAGCCACAAAGAGGCACCCACAAACCTGGGAACACACTGACTTCTGTGGAATGCCCCTTTGGATGCTGGGAACCTTTTATCAGCTCACGGATTGACAGCAGCAACTTTTTGTGTTTCTGGAGGGGGAGTGGGGGGAAGAAACAGGCTTGGGAAGCTGAGTTGTTTACCCAAAAGCCAATCAAAACCAGGTCTCTGTAACTCGGTTGAACGGGGTTCCCAGAACATTGGGTCAAGAGGTGAGAGGTGTGATGTTTGGTTTTCTTCTGGTGGAGAATGCAAGCTATTCTGCCCTGGGTTGTTTAATCTGCAGTCAAACATGTTTCTTTATCCGGCTCCAAGGAGGCTCCGAGAAGAACTCCACCCAAGTTAGTGTTTACCCTTTGTTCTTTCCCTGGGGCCAACCTTGAAGCCTTATCAGCGTGTTTGGAGTAAACAGGTACGGAAGGCAAGAGAAGGGCGTGGAAGATGCTTGTGGGATTTCTCCTCCCTTCCTTCTCCTCCCCCCTTAGCTGGAAATGTTTGCTCAAACTGTTGTTCCCCCACTCCTCTTTTTCCTCTCATTTGGCACTGAGCTTGTGTGTGCGTATCTGTGTGTGTGCGCGCGCATGCGTGTGCGTTCTGGAATGCAGCGAAAGCTGAACTCTGGGGAACGTTGAACCCGAGCTGCTCAGTCTGAGTCAGGATCCAAACACCTGCCCCAACTCCGGGAGAGTTTGAATCCTTACTGGAGACTTGGGGCCCATGCCTGAGAACAAGGGAGAGCCACAAAGCCAGACCCCCGATTCCAACGTTCCCGCCCACAGGGCTTTGGCTCTCCCTGCTGAAAACCAAATCCTGAACAGGTTTTCCTGCAGGCGCTGTGGTAGGGCGTTTGCCCCTCTGCAGCAGAATCCAGCCTCACTGGGATTACTGATAAAGTACAATTCCTCCCATCCCATGGTGCCAGCATGGCTGGGATCCCAGGGCAAGCAAAACGGGGGACTGGAGATAGCCATGGAGATGGAAAAGGCCAGGCTGCTCGCCTGCCTGACTGCCTCAGAGAGGCTCCTGGCTCGCTCAACACAGAGCCACAGTCACTGGAGAGAATGGTGTAGGGTGCAGGCCAGAGACCCTACGAGCATCCATGGGGCAAGGATGAGGGCTCAATGGGCCGGCCTCCCAGGGCACACAGAGGAAGGAAGGCTGAGGTTGCCCTACCTGTTGCAGCATGATCGCCTGCTGCTGCTGCAGCAGGGCTTGGAGCTGGGGAGGAGACAGGATCTGCTGCATCTGCTGCGGAGTGATCATCTGAGGGGACATCATAGCCACAGACACGGGGACCTGTGGAGAGTGAGAGAGCGTTAACAGAACCCCATGCTGAGCCTGCAGGAGCAAGTTTTAGGGATGTAATAGTCTAGTGGATTAACTGATAAGCAAAAGCTTATTGGTTAATACTACAGACTACATGCATTCCCCTACCCACGCCAGTACATTTTCTTAGCAAGCTGGCCCGCAGCCCAGCTCAGTCCTGGCTTGCACCAGGTCCGGGACCTACTCCTGCTGTGGTGCTGCATTTAAAGTGAGTTAGGAGCCAGGTGGACAGGCAGCCTGGCTCAGTTCCGGATCGTGCCAGTTCCGGGAACTCAGCCCCTTCCTTGGACAGGGGCTGCTGCCATCCTGTGCTGCTGCCTCTGTATCAGAAGCAGCAGTGCGGGGAGACAAGCAGCCAGTCTGTGAGGGGAGCTGGTTTTTAAACTGGTTCCCCTCACGAACCAGCTCCCGCCTGGCACCCCACATTGTGACCGCTGATACAGAGACAGCAGCGCAGAGTGGCAGAGGGCTCCTCAGGAGGGGGACTGGAGCACAATGGCTGCTGGCCCCACCCCCGAGGACTATAGAACAATCGAGTAACCAATAAGAATTCACGAGGTTAATCGACTATTCAATTAACCGATATCTAACATCTCTAGGAAGTTTTTCCACTCACAGCTGCAAGCTCCGCCACAATCCACATTAGAGCACATTGGTAATTGCTCCCTCGTTAGGGCTGGTACAGAGTTTTCCTCTGTTAGAGGCCCTGAAAAATCCTCCCCACTGTTCCTCCCTCTACAGACTAGGCCTGGGGCGGAGGTAGAAACATCATACCCACGCTGAAGTCAAATCATTCCCCCTCAATATAAGGCTTGTAAGCTGGGTCCCAAACACCTCAAAGAGCACTAGCAGCGAGGATTTGAAAACACAGACAGCATCACCCAGACCAAGCATTCAGAAATCATGCGTTACGCTTGAAAGTGCCATGGGATTTTTCATCTATAGTTTTCTTCTCCCCCTTGGGGAAGGGGTATTTCCCTTCTTTGAGATTTTAAGGGCGTCACGTTTTCCAGCTTTACTCCACAACCAGAAGGCTACAATCTTGCTTGTATTTTAAATGAAAGCGGAGAGTCCCACGTAATCCCATGATTCCAGGAGCCAGGGGGTTGCGCAAACGTCATGAATCTCCAGGTAATTGCAAACACACACGACACTACACACCCATAAAGCCAATGTTAAAAGTCAAAACCAAACCAAAGCTATGCTCTATATCTTTAAAATCAGGCCCTTGCACCCGCAGAGGACTGAGTTTTGCCAACCCCCACCCACAAAAAAACACCCCAAAAACCCCACATATATGGTTTGGATCAAGTTTGCATTTTATGTGAACCCCAAAAGCCATGAGGGAGACGAGGAGGGTGAAGGGTTCTGCCCATCTCTGGGGTCCCCAGGACACCTTTTGCTAAGGATGGTAGCCAGAGCAGCTCTAACCCATGCTGCTATGCAGCCAGCATGCGCTAGCTTCGAGGTAGCTGCATTGGGAAGGTGGGGAGGGGGCAGAGATCCTTGAGCTACTGCAGGGTGTACGGTTTGGTGCATGGTTTTGAACATGCAGCAGACAGTGCTATGACTCTCACCCAGCCCAAAGAAGTGGTGGGTATTCAGACCCTCGCCCAGATTTTCTTATAAGGCCATTGCTGGTGTCATTTTGCCCTTCCCTGGAGTCAACTAAAGCTCCCCCACCTGCCCCATTCTGAGCACAGGCCAGCTGGAATGGCATGTTTTCATTCTGCCTCACTTCGAGGAAGTGTAGCAGGGCAGTTGGCCCGTGACGGAACTGGGCCTCGCTGTTCTCTCCCCATCCAGATGTGCCCCAGCTTGGTGTCACGAGGAGGGTAAGGCTGCCCAGAGCGTTATAAATGAGATGGCTCAAAGGTTCACAGGCCTCTCAGGTAAGGGACTGGAGTGCCCTGAAGGGGAGTCCAGAACCCTGAGGACACAGGGAGCATGAGCGAGCTGGAAAGAGCAGCAGCACCGGGCTGCGAGTTTCGCGGAGGGGTACACTCTTGCAGGCGAGCATGAGAAGAGTCCCCTAGCGAGCAGCGCAAGCCAGATCAGGCCGGCGAAAGCGGAAGGCAGGTGTGTCCAGAGAGCTGCAGGCAGAGAGGGCTGAAAGCAACAGACAGCCTAGTGGCTCCTTGAATTGAAAAGCGGGAGCCTGAGGCCAGAGGGGGCTAAAGGCTGGAGAAGGGTGGAGGGGGAGCCCACCAGTGTCTCCAGAGCTAGAGCCAGGCCTGAGAATGAAACAGGACGGAGAAGCACTCCAGCTACTGGGGCTTGGGCAAGGATGGGCAACCTAGGCTGGTGAGCGGGCAAAAGAGTGGCCCTCTATCTCTGTGGGCCGCTAGCTTGTCATAAGCCAGTCTCCCAGGCTAGGGAGGTGTTCCTCGCTGCCCTGGTGTACCTAGAATTTGTGGGGTGTGCCAACAGAGTAAGGATGCCAAATCCCGACTAATCAGATAACCGGTTACATTTAGGTGACCCAACGTTTAACCAATAAGTTCTCCCGTGGGGTTCCCATGCCCAGCCCTACAGGGGGGTTGGCTGCCGGCTCCAGCCCCCACCGGTTACTAATGCAGAGAGAGCACTCGGCTCTCACAGTGAATGTTGTGGACAATGAATATACCCCTCACGTCACACGCCCTGGCTTTGTGTGTGTGTCATTTCAGTAACACCGGTAGGAAAGTGCTACAGGGCTGGCAACCAGCAGAATATAACAACCCTGCATGTTGCTACGGGTGAACAAAATGTCTTGCGGGCCGCACATAAAACCCCAATGGGCCGCAGGCTCCTCACCACAGGGCTAGGGCGAGGCATAGTGAGACACGTAGGAGCTGTACACCCCGATGGCCTGCTAGGACTTGACAATGAGTGAGTGTGGCGCTTGGTTGAGCTGGGGAAACTTGGCTTATGGTCGTGGGACTTCTTGTCAATAAATGACTCCCGTGAAAGGCTCTGGTGTGGAGTGCCTGGAGTCTCTGGAAGCAAGGGGAAACTGAGGCAGGCAGGCTGGTGATGCTATACACAGTGGAGATACAGGCAGGTGAATCAGCCTAAGCAGAACGGCACGTGCCCAAAAGACGGCAACCAAGGCAGGGGGCTGCTTGCAGGGCCAGCCAAGGACAGGATGGCTCTGAGAAATGAGGAGGGAGGCCCAATATGTCCATGGCTCTTTCCTGGCGAACAGCTCCAATGTGGAGTCCCAATAGCCCATTCTTGGGCCCCACGGGTCCACAATCCAGCACGTCTGCCCTGCCCTTCTCTTCCCTACCCTGCCTTTGAGCTGCAACATTTGGGGAGGTGGTGGCAAGGGCTGTGGGGGGGAATCCATAACCTGTACCCTTCACAATGGCTCTATGGGGAGTTCAACCACCTCTCCCCTTCCTCCAGCCCTGCCTTCCACTTGCTTGACTGCTGAAGTTCTCTGCTAAGACAAAACCCACAGAACAAGCTCAGGACTCCAGCAGAAAGAGGGAGGGAGAAGAGGCATTTGGGCCCATCAATCAAATATCACCTCTTCACTGTCCAAACCGGCTGGAGCAGCTGCATTAAGGCGGAGCTGGTTGGAAGCAGGCTGGGGCAGAGAGCGGGGCTATTGCTGGTGATAAGAAAGGGGGACAGTGAAAGAACAAGGAAGAGCAAAGAGACTGAGCTTGCAGACTCCCTGCCCAGCAACTCCCAATGCAGACAGTATCAAGAGAGGCCAGTTTTGGATGCTGCCCCATCTGCGCAGCCTCCAGAACGACCAAACTAGAGCAGCCGCGGCTCCCAAACTGGGTCGTCACTCACAGGAGCTTGGAAGTGGGTCAGAAGAAGCCTGCGACCAACCTGTGCCACAGTTAAGACCCTGCAAAACCCCCCTTTTCCTTTTTTTTTTTTTTTGGTTTAAATTCACAGCAGCACCAAATTGTCTGAATGTCACCGGACACGCACGGAGGCCGAGTCCCTCCCTGCACTGCTGAGGTTTTCCTGACAGCCGGGGGCTGTACAATCCCAGTGAGGGTAGCCAGGCCTATCCCAGGGGAAGCCGGAAGCATTTCACCCCACAACGCCAGATGTTCTGGCTTGCACCAGCCCAGAGCAGGGACCAGGGCCTGAGCTCAGTGCAGAACTGGGCTAATGTCATGATTTCTCTGAAACTCTAGATTTACACAGGGCCATTTTCAAAGTAGGAGACCCATGGCAAGAGGCTCACTTGTGGCCATCCATTCTCCCCACTGCTCCACCCCCCACAGACCTAATTAATCTCACTCCCAGCAGGCACTAGGGGCTGGGAGACAGCAAGAGCAAGCTAGAAAGTAAAAGTGGAAGGGACGGGGACACTGGCAGTGTTGTCTGCAAGCTGAGAACTTGGGCAGCCCCCCAGAAGAGAGTCAAATGTCACCCAGCTGATCAACAGAGCACCCACAGCCCGCAGAAAGGTGTTGCCGCTGGTGGTGCACAGCCACACGTGTCTCGGTGCACATACGATTTATTCTGCACATGGGTGGGAAAAGTTAGAGGGAACATTGGACAATGGTGGCCAAAACAACTTCTCCACTCTCTGATTTCAGAAGAATCAGGGCTTTGCACAAGACATGAGGAACTTATCCATCATCTCTAGGCAGCTATTATTTCCTGATGACATTAGTAGCCCCTGTAATTACCTTGACAAGGACTGGGTGGGCTAGAAGTAGCTTAGCAAGCTCTCCTGTTACGTTAGTACGCACGTGCATGCACCCCTGTGGTTTGGGGTAGCGTTGGACCATATGCTCTGGTAATGGGTTTCATCCAGGACAAGTTCAGGAGCAGGAAAAAAATGGGAGGGGAGCTGAACATTTTAAGAGTCTCTCCCGTTATGCTCCCCCACATCCATGCTGAGGGCAGACATCACCCCAGAGTAGCGCCCGGGGGTCTGACCCTGTAATCCTGCCCAGGAGGACAGCAGAAGGGAGAACCTGGGAAGGGAATGTACAGCTATTGCTGAATGC